CTTCTCGCGCCGTTTTTCATTCCGTCTCGAATTTATATAAACGTTATCGTGAAATTATACCGGCGCTTTATTGTGTCCCAAACAAATGCGCGCTTTTCTTTTGTAATCAAGTACACAATTAGTTGTTAAGTTGGCGATAACATTATGGTATTGCTCCGGCGGGGAGACAAACGACGCGCTCCACTGCTCGCGCTGATACCGAGTCTGCTGGAGTACCTGCACGTTACACAATCTGCTAAATTTAATATCATTTACGAGTACCTGTAGTATAGCTTGCATGCTGTTCCGCGGTTAAAGTAATACGCTCTTTAAGTGTTATGTGTATTTTTGGTTATAATAAATATCTCTTTTACGTAAAGTCTCTAGTTAGTTGGCAATTGAGTACTTTGTAACATACATTATGATCGTGGTTGTGTAATTTTACAGTACAACCATAAATACTCATACTTTTATGTTATTCATGATTTGAGAAAAGTAACGCAATATTCATTGAAACTTATTTAATTATGAACGATATATTTGTTCAAAATTATTGTACAAGAGCTCTTACAAGATCTATTATGAGTTTTGAAATAATGAATTGCACTGTAAGAGACGTTTCCCCTGAAGAGGCCAGTCATCGTAATAATACTTTAATGGAAGCCTATAAGTAAGTGAAGCCACAATGTGATCCGGTCGAGTCACTCTCTGTGGTACACTACTTAACATTATTAATTCTTTATTCTATCAAGCATAACAGTCCCTTTCAGAATAGTATCTTTGAGAAAGTATTGAGAGGAAATGTTTATAAAAAGTATCCGATGATTAAATTGATAACGTGGTGTTTTTGTGAAGAGATTGGCCCAAACAAGTCTTATCTGACAAAGCCCTTTCGGGCTCGTAGGAGCGCGGCCCGGCTTAGAACCCTTTCACTAGAAGATCAATGCGCACACGTCGCTGGCACAAGTCATAGGAGACTGGTCAACGTGCACACATACTCAAAAATATGATGTCGGTGTGTACGAAACTAGTTTTTATAGGCAGTCAAGTAAATAAGTGTAAATGGATTAATAATTCACTGTACATTGCTTTTACATTTTTCAAGTAAAGAAAGTTTTCAGAGGCTCCAGTCATTATCACACAGCCCTACAACTAAATTCTGAAAAAGACCTATAACCCGACAAGTGATTGTATTCACTTTATTATATTATCAAAGTCCATCGGATGCTCAATTGTTTGTAGCGTCCGGTGCTGAGGTGAGGTGCCGACGTATCCTCTGTCTGTATAGAATTAGAAGAGTTGAGTTGTTGATTGTAATCAACAGTGTTTGTGGTACTTCATTAATTTTAGTATGGGGGAGCTATGCTTCGGCACAAATGGGCCGGCTCGACCGGAGTGTTACCACGGCCTAACAGAAAACCGACGTGTCAGTGTGAGATTACAAGAGGCCCAATTATCCACTTCTTCCCCAGTCTCCCCAATCCCTGAATCTCCAACAATCCTCAAATTCCTAATTCCCAAAAGGCCGGTAACGCACTTCTCACGCCTCTGGTGTTCCAGGTGTCCATGGGTGACGCCTATTGCTTACCATCAGGTGATACTCTGGTCATTTACCGGTTTATCTCATAAAAAATCAGTTACTTATCATTATAGACTTAAATATTGACTAAAATTCTTTATATAGTAATCCATTGATAACTTATAACTCTTAATAAAGTTTACAAGTTTTTAGGTCTGCACCTAATAAACCTAGACTGTACGTTGAAGGTACCAAGTCAAAACTAACATAATAATTATGTGAGAGCAAAATATCCGTGTAACATCATACATTCAAAATGAATCATTAAAAATATGAGCGCGTGGCGGGCGGCGGGCGGCGGGCGGCGGGCGGCGGGCGGCCAGTACGCAACTGTTGGCATTACGGTCGGAACAGTAAGTGCAACTAATTTGTTCCCAACTTTGTTCCAAACTGTTTCTGCGAATGAATATATTTTCACGTTCTGTTTTATTTACACTAATCGTGTTTGTACCTACGTGTGTAAACTGTGGAGACTTTTCTTTAGTTTAAGAGCAATCTGAAGGTTGCACGCATGCTGCACTACTGCCCAGATTGGTATTAACATAATCTTTAAATGAATACAGTACCGCTTATTTTTTAGGGTGACTAACACATATTACAAAAGGTTTGGCTTTCAAAAAATTTTACATTAAACTGTAGGTATTCCGTTTCAGAGTTCGTCGTAGAATTTCCTGATGAATTGATATCATGATGATATTGATCATCTCTCATACAGAGAGCTTCATCATGCACCGATATAGCATTCATCTGCTGGGTAAATATCCGTGTCGATGATCGTCCCGGGCCGGGCCGGGGGCGGCCGGACGGCCGGTAAATCGCTTTAAATATCCATTACTCACGGACATGCATTTTATAACGGCTCGGCATAAAAAATGTTATTGACGTCATAAAGCGATAGTCAATATTGAGTCCGGTGTCCGGCCCCGGCCCGGAATGTGCCGATTTATTGCCGTCTCTCGTCAATCCGTGCTCGACTTTAGTTGGTATAAAGTCGCGCTTTTCTTTTTACGTGTAGTGTCGCAGTGGGTCGTTGTTTGTCGAGCACACTGTGGCCGGCGTGCCGGTGTGACCACATCTAATATTGACGTGTGTGTACACTTCTTGTTGCTCACATCGTGGGTTGTTCTTTTTTGTCACACATAGACGGAAATGGCCCACAATCTTCATAACGTGCAAACTAGAGACTAGAGTTACATAGATATAACAGACAATAAATTATTTCCATTTTCTAATTTTGTGATAATATATTTTACTGTAGAAACAAGTTTTGAAATCTTGCAAAACTGAAGAAGCTAACGGAATATTCTTAGAAGCGTTATTTCAACGCAAATTGAGTTTATTTCGTCGGAGGCATAAAGCGAGTATGTGCCGTAGTTAGCATAATGTAGTCACAGAGTGTAGTCGCCTAGTCGCTACAGTACAAGAGTACAGCACTAGGAGACAGCCATGTGACTAGCAACTACACGACGTGACTATACTCTCTTAAAACCATATCCTTTGCTAAAATTTACTTTTCTACACCACCATATAGGTAATAATAATGTGTGGATCACTAAATAGATTTCCGAGATTTAAAATGGTTAGATAATCTCTGTTTATACAGAAATAATAGCAGTTACATTTATGTATAGGTACAAATTCCATTATAATCAAAGCCCACCATACACTCACAAACCAAGCAGCGTACGGGAGTCGACTCCCGGCGGTTCATGTTCCCAGTGTGATTGATTTCTATTCAGTAACGGCCCATGTATTTGATGTACTCCACAAATCCCTCAGTTATGGCCTCCCTTTGTAATTAACTTGTCGTCTGTCGGACCACCACCGTGTACGGAATCAAATCGACGACAAACTGAGCGTGTAACATAGCTACAGGTCTACTTGTTGATGAATAGTGGGCCTGTGTAGTGAATGTAAGTAAAATGAAGCTGGGACGTATCCAGAAAGTAACAAGGAACCCTTTACACGACTAATTGAATTCAAAAACCAAATTACCATCGGAATATAACAATGAAAATTGTTACAAATGAAGCAAAATACACGCTCGTAATAATGAGCTGCCGATCCATTTCCAATTACCCCTGGATCAACAGCGGCAGCGGGCACATTTCAATATGTGCACAAATATCTGGCACAGAAAGCGTTTCAATTACCTATCAAAACTGAGCGCCTGGTACCTCCGCGGGCTCTTTCTAATTACAAAGGCCGGTTTATTATAACAATGTGGAGTTTTAAGAAGATTGGAATACTCTATTGATAGTCGAGATACGTTTTATTACTTCGGAAATTAGGAACATCGAGCAATTTTCATCTCAAACTGAATGGTAATTGGTAATTGCTATATTGATCTTATATTGTTTAACGATTACGAATCAAATGAAGACCGCATCCTAATTAGTGCTCTACAAACAAACCAACAAGTGCTGCGCTCGCAGTACATCGCCGCGGAATTACAACAATATCCATAAATGAACGATTAATAAACTGAACACGAAAGAAACATTCCAGTACACACGACACTGGCTGTAATGGCTACAACTTGTATAATTTTGACTTAGTTCTTAATTGCTCTGTCTGAATGCTAACAACGTATGAAAGAACGATAGAACAATAAAAAAACATCGTTCCACGTCTGTATACTCGCACGAAAGAGTGTAATTTAATATTAGAACATTCAAGTTAAATTGAACTTTATGCTACCGAAATAAGGGCGTTACGTGGTGTATTAGATTATTTTTTGTAACAGTCTCGCCAGTTAAGTAATATAATATCCGAGTGACGTTTTCCATTTGTATGCAAATGCAGGCGGCGAGGAGGCGACGAGCGCGCGGCGACGACGCTGCGACAACGACGCGAAATGGATACGTCTTAAGTAATGGCTTTATTAAAATTGTTCTTATTCATATTTGTTTGTTTTGTGAGCACCACGCAGGGTCTCAGGTTCTAGTTTGTAGAACATCATTTTCTATTGCGATACAAGAATATGGTTCGATTGTTTCTCACAAAGTGTTTAGTATTCTAACGAAGTAAAACTTTTATTTTACTACATACATATATACATTTAACTGAATGCCTACAGTTTGGTACCTTCTCAATGTAGCTATTACCTTCCAACTTTGCCTCTTCAAATCAATAAACCTGACGAAAAGAAATATCCTTGGTAGACATAATATAGCACAAATATGATAGTAGATGGAGGTGCAGCGTGAATTGAATCCCGCGCCCCGCGCGCTGGGAGTAAACAAGAATTGATCGCGTCATTTATAACGCGCGATTTAGATAGCCGAGCGACGCGCGACCATTACTCAATGCGTAGTACATACACATGCCGTAATACAACTCCAAGAAATACTGTGAGATCTTTTTTGATTCTTTTATATTTTTTGGAGTTCTGGGAGAGGAAAAGGAATCGTATTGAGGTGAATTAAACGTAAAATATTGCTGATTTTATAACTGATTTATTTTCTAGGATGTCTATGTAAGATCAAACTCTGTATTATTTTAAATATTTACTGAATAGTGCTACAAGTGATACAAGAAAATATTGTAATCTAAATATGACCGTGCAGTTAAACTACTGCGTACAATGTTCTAGTGTGCGTCTCCTTAGCAGGCCGTCAAACGTCTTCCCTCAATTGTTTTTTTTTCATTCGTCTATAGTGTCGTGTGATGTGCTGCGATCTCAGGCTGATCGCTTGGTGACGTCACTTTTTGCGCGTCGTTCACTGGCCGCGGTTTTTCAGCTGGACTCTGAAATAAATGATGTGATTTGAAGCGATTTCTGCGGTGTCACGATAAATCGAACGACAGTCTTTAGACGTCGACTTTCGAGTGAATATCATAAAAAATGTTTTACGATAATGAACCTTGCGGCTCGCTTCTTTGGCTAAAATTGGCTAATCGCCAAGTGGGAGGATGCAAGGAATTTCGAACTAATGTCAGGACAAAAGTTAGTGTTTGTAATTAAAAGTACCGACTGGAATGCGGCCAGACAACTCCTTGTATGTACAACATGAATTAGTAACTTTGTTTTTAATGGAGTACAATAAAACAAATATTTCAATTACGATTCACTACCTCTTCCACAACACCTCAAGTACCAAAATGAAGCAGGAGAGCACTGCGAAGGATGCCAGCATCAGAAAGGCTGGAGCCGCCTGTCCCAGCGCCAGTGCTCGCGGCTGGGCGCCCGAGCAGGCAGGCATAGTGCCCGCAAACCGGGCACGAATCGCTTTCACATGCCCACGCTCCAACAGACGAAGAAGACTGGAAACATGCATGTTTGTGGAAACTAAGGGTAAACCTTAATCATTTATGTAATGTTTATGATAGATGTCCGAAAAATCGAATGATACTAGTCGTATCAGTAGTCTGACTTGTAAGCTACCGGAGCACGCCTACTTGTAACACTTTGAATTCCCAAAACGTTTTTAACTGTCGAAAATTATAGCGCGGTAAACAGTCTCCTAAAGATGATTGTTAATTATGTCATTAGCGCCCATCTCTGTTGGAGAAATTAAATACTCCCTAAAACCTAATATGAAATAACCAGATCCAATTTCTACGTGCGTATTAACGTGGCAGTAGGAAAGTAGTCGGTAGCTACACCCTTGTTATCCCCACGTAATCCCCGAGAGGTTCGACAGAAGGTATTGTTATTTACCCCTCAGTGGTGATGCCATTGTCGCAACAATGTCGCTTCACCTGCCGATTGATTCGGATCAATTCATCAACAAACAAATGTTCTTCAATACACGCGATGAAAGAATGGGTAATCTTGAAATCTGTACTGATGGTACAAAGGCTAAAGAGTTAGTTTGGCTAAGAACTGTACTCTCTACAATGAAAGGTTAAACTGATTCAAAAGTCTGCTATCACTTTCAACGTTTAATAATCTATGTTCAATATTTATCGCAACAGGCCACCATATTAAATTTTCAACAGTTCACAAAATTAACATTACCTGACGTTTATCGTCGCAATTATGCGATATTATTCGTATCAGATAATGCAACTGAAAATTGATTATGTATTCATTTGTAATCGTAGTATACAACACGCCCTATTTTGTAAGTGGTTGTGTAATTTAAATTATTAGCTATATCAAAGTCATCCACAAACCAGATGCGCAGAAAACATTTGAAATAGTGTCTAGTGATACCTCCAATCAAAGAATTCTTTATAAGGACTCTTTTTCTGGGCCATGATGTACACGTGAGCTGGTAACATCATCTGCAGAGCTCCGAGGTTGCACAGCTCCTTATCCTCATACGTTTTGGATATCACCTGACTTGCAGTATACGGTTCAGTGTGGAAAGCATATTCTGGAATAATTTCAAACAAGGTTAAGGTTGAGGTTGACTGACTGACTGACTGACTGATTGACTCCACCAATTGTGTGTGTGTGAATTATATCGAAAATTTGGAAAATAATTCTATTTTCTATTTATTGATATTTGTGAAAAAACCGCCTTCATTCTTAGACTTTTAGTGATTGTAGCAAACAGCAGAACTAATCAGATTATTCAACAAAATTCATACAAAAAAGAATCACCCCCAAATTACATGGGACTCATAACATAAAATAGTGAAAAATGGGCGTTACATTGTATATGTACAGTTGCATTAAGTGCCGTAATGTGCACCTGTGCCTACCCCGTCGGGAGTTAAAGGCATGATTTTATGTTATACTAGAAAGAAATCAGAAATATTTGAAAGAAAATTAGAAATCGGGTTTCCCACATACTGCCAGTCCGTAACAGTTCAACGCCCTTGTTCACATTCTGCAACACTGAAACAGTACGCTTCGCTTTTGTGACTTTCTTGTCTCTCAACTCATCTTCTTTAACATTCTTGAAGCCGCTGTAGTAGAAGAAACCTGGATTCTGGAAATCGGTTTAAATATAGAAGTTCAATGGTTCTAATTACTATAATACGATAGTTTAAATGTTTGTTACTTAATTGTACCAGAACGAAATTGGACGATAGCTATTGTCAAGGAGAAAATTGTTACTATAGTCTAGAATAAATAAAATAAATAAATAGATCCACAAAGGCTCCTCTCCTTTTCGATATTTTGTTATCGGAAAATTATTTTAACTCTAAAAAAAACCAAATACCAATACTTACATCAAGCCACCCTCTAGTATATCCAATATCTTCGAACACCAGTTCAAAGTCGCTGTTAATGAGGCCGTCGAGGTTGGCGATGGAAGGTGCAGCAGCGTTCAGCAGCCAGGACACCACACTACTGGTGTAGTAGTTGTACAGCAGCATGCTCGTCAGTCCTATCACTAGCAGGGTTAGTCTACGACCTGCGGGAATTAGGTTTTGTTAGTTCATTACTAAGTAAGTGCAGATCCATTATATTTTCAAGTTCTTGCATTGAGTAGTGTGTCAACACATAGTGGACTTATTTACGTTTTTGTTCTACTATACAGAGTACTAAGAGCGTCACTTACTCTTTACGTACTTTTTCTATGATGTTCTTGCTTCAGATCATAGAAACTAAGGCGGTTGAGACTGCCTTTCGCATTTTTTGATTATCAGCTATGTAATAAAACGATAAAGTTTCCAAGATTGAGTACGCTAACCTGCCGATGTCTATACAATATTTATAGGTAATCTTACCTTGACTAGATAATGTTTGCTCCAATAACTGAACTCCGTCTTCATAACCTGAGCACAAAATAATCGTCATTATAGTCATTAAGTAACGTCGCGCGAACAAATTATCATCTACGACTTCAAAGCACATCGTAATGAAAACGCACAAATGTTTGCGGTAACAAACACAATCATTTATCTTAATTTAAATGCCATGCCAATTTTGGGACATATCTACAGAGATTAGAGGATTTTAATATCATGACGCTTGTTACTGATGTAGTGTGTCTAGTTTGCTGAAATTATATACATGTTATCCTAAAAATAACACACAACACCAGACTCCATGCTCATTTCTGTAAAATATCCTTAAGTAAGATTAAAATAAGAATTGAATCAGTCATTTATTCCAACTAATTGAGCACTTGCCAACTAGTCACATTCAATACTTTTTTCGAACTGTCAAAAACGACAGTTTTCTATGACTTTTGTATGAGATTATGTATGGTGACGTCATGTGTTTTTTAGCGTTAAACAACGTACATATTTCTTAAAAATTTGCTGAAAAATACTAAAATTAAGTGGTTCATAAAATCAAATAATGAAAGCGTGATTATTTATTAATATTTCATTGTATTGAATATTCTAATCTAACTGCTTGTTTGGTGGTTTGTACCTTGTTGACAAACCGCAGCGAATACACTGAAGAAGGCATACAGTCCTGGCTTGGGTCTGTTCTCCATGCGAGCCGCGGCTGCCAGGACCAGCGTGCAGGCGATGCCGGCGAAGAAGGCACAACACCAGACTCCGTAGGACAACGGAGTAAGGAACCTGTTCTCATACTGGCCCACACCTGTCTCCGGTATCAAGTAGTAGAATTTGGTCCTAGGTAATATAGCAACCATAAAATTGGTCTTCATTCAAGAAATAGCAGCTTAAATGAAGCTGAAGACAAATATACCCACTGGAGATTAGTAGTTGGTGGGTGGTAAATGTCGACCCAATTGAGCCACTTGGGGAAGATTCTGGCACAGGTGCTGGATAGGTCTTGCTCCTCCCAGAATAGAGTGTTGGTGACAGCCTGGTCAGACAGGTGGTACACATTACTATAATAACATAATCTAAGCTAATATCATAAAAGTAAGTTAGAGTCATGTCACCATTGTAGAATTTCTCTCCGGAGACCCGATCCATCTGCCTGCGATACTATAGTTGAACCTGTGGAATACTTGGAATGAATTAGCAATGATTTTAGTTCGTATGAATATACCAGTGCCAGTGCTTACTTAGATAGATTTTGAACTTTAATATCATAAACCACAAATACATTGGATCAGGTTGACTTGTTGGTATCTATACTTTACACTGACCTGAAATTGTGTCGTTCTTTGATAGTGTTGAGCATCTGCGTAGTGATCTTGGTCATGGCAGCCACTCCTGCAGTGTACGTCATCTCTGATAACATCTCCGGGTAGAACACCTTAGGCTGGTCAACTATCTGAATAGACGATGTAAAGATAGAATCGGTATGTTTCCGTAGTTAAAAATAAATTGCAATTATGATCAATTGTAATGAATACTTATCTATATAATAAATAAAAGGGACTAATACCATTAATAGTGAAAAGTGGGTTTTAACTCTATGTGCACCTTTGCCTACCCCTTCGGGGATAAAAGGCGTGATGTTATGTATGTATGAATGTAATGAATAACTAGGTATAACTACTTACCACAGAAATTGCTCTCAGCGTCAAATTATGAAAATCCCAGCGATTGTAATACTTGTAGCCTTTCAGTATAATCTCTAATCCTGAAAATTTATTTAACTAGTTTTTAATTCCAATATAGAAAATATTTTTGTAATTTGTATAGCTTCCTTTATCCTGCAAACAGTGGTTAATAAATCCTGATTTATTGAGTTGTAAATAAATATTTAATTCTATACGTGAAAATTAAAACTCATAATGCTAATGAAATAGTATACCTTGATCCGGTTGCCAAGTTCCAAGTAGAGCTGTTTCCAAGTGGTTTCCTTGTATTCTGCCAAAGTTGTAAACGTCGATGATCGCGAAGGAATCACCTGAAAAAAAGATTTTAAGAAACCATTCATGGAGCAACACGTTATTTATTTAAACTTGACGGTTAGACAGTTACCCCTATTTGCGACGACAGCGACATCTGCGTTGACACTCAAGTTGAGCCACTGGAATGTCTGCATGACATATTCCGTGCAGTTGTCATCTTCAAAGTCGGTCAGTATGAGCCAGGAGTGCACTGCGTCGAATAATTTGTTGAACGAAGCCTAGTGAGAATTAAAAGTTCTTTTTTAATAAAAATCTATCTCTTTGTTTCAGAATAAAAGCTTTAATCTCCTATAGTCTCCTTCAGTCGAATTACCTTCGGAGTCGCGGAGAACCTAACGGGTAACCGGGGCTCCGGCTTGACGTGCAGGAGAAGGAACGGGGTGGTTTTTAGTCAGTAAGAGTATGACACTCCCTCCCGCCTCACCCAGGCGGGAGCAGAAATTCGACGATTTTCCCCCCTTAAAAAAAAGTAGAATTACCTGGTTCATCAATGTTTGCGTCTGATTGCAATGTCCATCGACTAGGACTCCAACAGGTACAGTCGTCTGATGTGCAACCCTCACTACGTCTACATTGTCTCCATCAAGACGTCTTACAGACACTCGTACATTCTCTTTTGTTAATTTTTGTACTAACATGTTGTTATCTGTAAGAGATATCATTGGTAATAAAAAAGATTTTGTGAACAGTTCAAGATTTCTACACCAAAATTCTTAACATCTCACTCGATACCGAAATTGGGAGTCTTTATATTTTATTTACATTAAACATAACATTTTTCTGACGGACTTCTAATGAAAATATTTTGTAACATAAAAATACACTTACAATAATTACTTTCACACGTAAAATAACAGACATATTTCAAATCTTTATACAATACGTAGTCGGTGATAACATGAACTACATCGAGATTAAACCCGAATATAGTTAAGAAGAGGCTGCACAACATACTAAGTACGATCATTTTGCCAAGTGTTGGGTCCGCAGTGGCAGCAGTCAGATGTGCATCATTCGACAGTATCGCGTTTCAGTAATGGCTTGCAATTTCACCTGTCCATCAAATTCAACGTCACTTCGACTTGATACACACTGACATTGATGTTGAGTGAGGCTAACTCCACATGCAACACATTACATTTGCAAAATCCATTGTTAACGAATGGTAATATGTTTTTACACTCATCATTGACTTTTTGTTAAAAAATATATTTTTAATTTTAATGAGTTTATTAACATTCTTGATCTAGCATTGAGTATACGTCGAAATGCAATGAATTAGCAAAAAAAAGATTGTCAGCTGTTTTATGTAACACAGTATTACACCAAATATTTGGTTAGTCAGGTAAATACATTTCAATTACTTCAAAATAAACGTGAACCTTACCTCCAGTAAATAGTTATCAATCAGCGTCATCACTTACTTCGGGGTACAAGATGGTCAAGCATCGACTACATAATAAAAAAAAGGATTAAAATAAAATAATGAAATGTAAGTAAAATAAAACAAACAACGCGCGTGGTCCTGTCTCAGTAATTATTGTAGCACATCAACATTAATACAGGCTGAGTGCACATTGACGTTGCTCTTGTATACCGATTCTGTTACGTGATCGAGGTTTCAGTAATCATGACCTGACTATAACATTAAACCGTACTTAATATTATTGAACTGTCATAAATGTAACCAGAAAAAATAAATAGTTCAGCTGTTTTTTTAAAACCACGTGTTATAAGAACCGTGTTAAAGAGATGAGAGAGGAGCGTGTTGTAATGGGGCGCAAAACTGTAGTCTGTGTATATTCAGTCTTTGATGTGTATCTATTAATGTTGCATTTAAAAAAACAATAATTATTCTCCACGTTGCAATAGAAACCACAATAACATGTTCAGGAAGGAAGCAGAAACGTTGGCTGTCTTTTAAACCGCACACAATGTCCTCGACTACTTTTAAAACATTTCATTTCACAAGATTACATAAAATTCTTACACGCGCTTGTGAAGCACTCTAATTAAGTCGGGAGACATTTATGTGGGCACAGCTCAGTTGTGACACAGTATTGTCTGTGCTTATCTCCAAATTATTAGCACAATCTGACCTTTGCTCAGGTGGGCGACAGTTGCGGGTAATTCGACCAAAGCCGGGATCTACCGGAGTTAAGGATGTATTACGTGTTGATATCTACGAGCCCCGTGTTAACAACTTCTTACGTACATGAGTACATTATATTTTATGTTTCCTATTAATCTTCTAATATCTATAATAGTTAGCTTGTAATGTAAAAAATCTTTCTAGGCTCTCGTTAGAACTGAGTTTATTATGGCTCCATTCCCTTTATCGTTATCATCGATTTATTGTAAACGTGTGATGAACAAGGGTAGATTTTATTCGTGTATAAATATTGAATCGGTTTTATTCCCTACTTCTCGATATGATCCTTAATAAATTTGCGATGAAAATCATGGCTCCGTCCAGCAGTATATGGGCCGTACATTGTGCAAACGGCCGTACCCGATGTTATTATAGAATTCAGTTTGCGGAACAGTTGCGATTATACAAATTGCCTCAATTACGGCGTCGTATGAATATTTAACCCCTTGACCTTTTAACCCTCGCCAGGTAATGGGATGTACGGTGCTTTCATCTTTTTATGTGTATTGATAGCGGAATTAAACAATTCTTTAGAGCCGGCGATATCACTAGAATTATAATTACTGTCGCTGTTTACTTTTATACATCGTATAATATGTTTATCGGGAGTACCTTGCCTGGTTAAGTTAAGGGCTTGACTAATATTATTGTTACAAAAACTATAGAGGGAAATAAAATGATAATGAGGTATAATTATATGCGGCATCCCTGAATTGTTTTAGCCGCGGATCAACCAGGGAGTTCTTCGTTTGTGAATAATTCAATAAAAGTTAAAATTGTATCCATTTTTGTTGGAGTGAGCTTCTAAGAGTGTCTTGTTAACTGGCTTACTTAGGCCATTACTAGGGAATTATTGAAAGAAATTGTTCCCCCCGGGACAAAGTGATCTGACACGGAAAAGTCAGCTCTAAGCGTATACGGGCTCAATAAAAATAATGGCGGTTTTCCTTTATCAACAGAGTTTGACTTTGGAGAAAAATGGTTCGGCTTTTTATGGTTTCTGCCCTAATAATGTACCCCGTGTTGCTCCATTAGCTACTAATTAGGAGCGAACGTATCTTTTGAGTTGAGCCGCGCTTTAAAATTCATATTAAGGGTTTTGTTCTTAATTCAGAGTTACCATGGACAGGGCTGTAAGACGGCGAGCTACACCATCATAATGTAAATATTACATTAACGTGGACGGCGCAACTTTACACAATGTGTTTCAGTGAAATCATAATGTTGTCTTTTAAAGCATTTATACACGAATGAGTATTTGAGTAGTAATGAGTACTTGTGGTACTCTTGTGTCACTATTGGTAAAAGTGACACCATAGTCATACTTAAATCTGTTTTTATTGATTTGTTTATTCTTGTAATATCATTCATTCGTCAATTATCGTTTTATATGATAAAATAGATATTTAAGACTGTTTACACAATTGATTTCTCATTAGAGTATTTCGTACACCGATAGACAATTTCTCAGAAAGTAAACATTTGTTTGTAAATACTCGTATAAACCGTAGTAGAGGGTGTTAACAACAAAGTCGTGTTAGAGTGTGGTGTACAAAAAGCCCGAATATCGTTACACACGATGTTTGGTCGGCGGGCGGCCCGGCACGGCTCGGTAGCCTATTGCTAACATTGTCAACCGCTCTCACACCGAACACTGCAACTTGCAAAGCAAATACTGACTGTCATTTAAAAAACTTAGAACTTTTTATTGGATTTCAAGCGTTTAGAAACCAAACAATGCATTTTTAGTTTTTGTGATCAGTTCATCTCAGAAGTGCCGTTTGCTTTCGGTTTATAGGACCCAACCGAACTATAAAACCCAGGTCAAAAAGTAGTTTACAACTAGGAATAAAACAAAATGATACTATGAATATTACGTGAATGTTAGTTTATTTATTACCAAAAAAAGAGAATTATAGTGGAATATTAATAACTAAGACCTTTTTAAATAAATATTTAAATTAATTAAATTCAGACAAAGGGTTGTGGCGTGAAGTATACAACTGAGAGTATTAAAATTCATGGAACAATTTATAACAGTTAGATATTAAACCAGTTGAAACACATTAACATGTTGTATGAATAGAATAACATTTAATTGTAGGTTTCTTATTAATATTACTTTATTTATTTAAGTTTAACTTGTAAATACGATTAACAGTAGGTATTTAAGCTAAATATTTCACTTCATTACGTTAGAGAATTTATGTTGCTGGTGAAAAAAAATAGCATACATCACATTACATACAATATTATTTATTGTCATGTGAATTAATCTTTGAAATATGTCTGAAGTTAAAAAAAAAAATAATAAAACATGTTATTGGTTAGTGGTTCGGTGTGACACGCATCCATCATAACAGGCGAACGCAAAAGGCTGGTTGCGCGCGCGCTCGCGGCGAGGAGACAATATAAATGCTAATGTGAGGGAAACGCCGGCGGTGCAGATGGGGGGGGGGGGGGGTGTTGCAGGGCCTAGACGAACACTAACGAAGTTTTTTAATGACTTTGTTTGTGACATTAATACGAATTACCTCTAGATACAAGTTATTTAGTGATAACGGCCTCTTTGTAGCGACTCCTTGGAAACTGTAGGTGGATTGTTATTTCTAATATTATAATGTTGTATACGTTAGGCTAAACTCAACATAACATGTAGTAGGCATAACATATTATTAAGATAAATAAGCTTATTGATCCCAAACATTTTCTGAATATTAATATTAGAAAAATATTTCGAGAATATCTTCAGCAGACAGTACTTACGGACTTATTTAAAGTTAATAATAAACTTTATAATTTTACTTAGTTTACTTTCATGAGTTCCACTTGTTTTCATTAAGGTCGGGGCAAAATAAGAGTTTTATAAAGTGCTTTAAGTAGATCCTTGAAGTTGTGACAAGTCGTTCATTTATTCTGCTTAGTAATGATTTGTCGGTCTGCGATGGAGACTGGGTAATGTTCACAACTGGTGGCTTATGATAATAATTGTCTCTTAACTAATTAATGTGCATAACACACGAACGCTGATATATAAATTATTGTGACTACTAAATTAATTTTGAACCCAAGGTTAGAGAGCCCGGTGTAAACTACGTTATGTGTCTTGAACCGTGATCATTAAAAACGCCGCGGAGAACCTAACGGGTTGCCGGGGCTCCGGCTCGAAGTACAGAAGTAGGAATGGGGTTCTCAGTCAGTAAGAGTCTGATACTCCCTCCCGCCTCACCCAGGCGGGAGCAGTCATTCGATGATTTTCCCCCCTTGAAAAAAAGAATTGAAAACCATAAGTCGTTTTATGAGCACTTAGTAATTTAACCGACTTAAGAATAGTTATAGGTACAATAGTTATGTACTGTATGAAATAAATGTCTAAATGAGATATAAGAGTGGATCATAATACTTTTTCCATAGGTACTGCAAGGAAAAGGTGTCGTGATGCTCGCTATTTCACTCATCAAAGTCCTTTTATTTGCGCTCAGACGGAGGTCGGAGACAGTACATAGTCCACAGTCCACACAGATCCTCGTATTACAGTACGCATTCAAAGCGAAGCAAATTGCATTCGCGGACTTCCCTGCCAGGGCTGGTACGCATTGTAAACAGCTCAAGTAAATAGGGGGTGCCGTATTAAGGGTGCCTTCGTAAATAGAGCCCCTTTTTATAAAAATGCTTCGAATGGACGCTGCCTTTTGCAGGCGTTTCATCTCCAGTGCATACGAGATGTTACTTTGTAGAGATGTACGCTGTGG